ATTAATCTGTTTATATGAATATGAAATAAATTCCTTGAATATTCTGTTTATATAAAGACTGCTGGCACAGTACTGCAGGAGTGAGGTAATGGGCAGGAATTGCACAGGGCCTTGGCTATCCCAGCACTATGTTGGTTTGTCTCTGGCTTTTGGCCCACAATCTTAACACTTTCCTTGCTTGGGCAGGCCCACTGAGATGCTTTCTGGAAGACTGTAGTATCTGGCCTGGCCAAGCTGCCGACTACGGTTATGGGCATTTAAAGTTTACGTGGCCGGAGGGGTAAGGTGGGATTGGTCCCTTGACACTTATCACCTCTGCCGATTGTCATTGGCCCCTATACAGTCACAGGGAATACAGCCCGCATCTCGTAAACATGGATATATTTCTGTGGCTGCTTCCTTGCACTGCTCAGGTCATATTGAAGAAGGTTACAGAGTCAAACTGCATGAATCCAGAAGCCTACATCTCTCAAAGCCATATATCATCTACGGGAGTGGTTTGGGAGTGGGGGGTGGCGGGGGGGCATGAGGACTGGTTTGGGAAACACTGACCTACAGTGTGTTACCAGTACTGACCACACAAAGATCTATTTTGTAATAAAATAAAAAATGTTTGTATTTGCCTGTATGCCAAACATTTCTAGCCCCCCCCAGTTTGGCATGTTTGTTTCATATTTCGTGTAATATTTTATGATTTGTCTTCTTCTATGGAATGTTGTCCTCTAGTCCAACAACAATGCAAAAGCTGTTGGTGCTTCGCAATCAGTAATAATTTATTAAAGTTGCCTTTTCAGAAACGGAGTGTTCTAAAGTTCCACTGCCCCCTAGAGGACATTTCTCTAATCACCATCAAATATGGTTTTACGTCGCTCATGCTCATCAAAAAAGAAAAATATATAGTTGCTGTAGTTGAAAAATATATGCCGAGCCAGATACACAACCTTTAACTTCCTTTTAATTAACTCTGACTTATATTGCTGTCTTCTTTCTTTATTTTATATGTTAAGAGTAACAAAGTATTTCAGAAATAAATATGAAATATTAACTTACTGTGCTTCCATTCCCAGATATAGACGAATGCCGTTTTGGGTATTGCCAGCAGCTCTGTGCCAATGTTCCCGGATCCTATTCCTGCACGTGCAATCCGGGTTTTATCCTTAACGAAGATGGGCGGTCCTGCCAAGGTATGCGTGCATAGTGCAGGCACAGAGAGCGCAGGATAAGGGACCTGCGCTCTCACATTTTAATACATATTAAAGATATCGTTAAATGCTAAAAAATATATGAGCACTTTGCTCCTGTGGAAAATCAAATAGTTAATTAGTTCTTTATTTTCGTAAGGCCCTAGTGAATACAAGTGTGATTTCATGATTACTTTGTACCCAGTTTGCAACAACCTCTCGGAGTTATTATAAAAGTGTGTATTGCTATAAATTCACAATGAATTCCTGACAATTTACACTTTAGTGAAAACCTTCAGGTTTATTTAGTAAAATGAGTATACCCTCAATCTGGATAGCAAATAGATTCAGTCACATCCAGGGGTATTCAGACAACTAAATTGTCTAAAACTAGACATTGTCTGAAACCAGACATTGGGTGAGATTTATCAAAGTATGCTATTCTTAAAAGTGATAAAGTACTAAAAGTGGAGCAATCACCATGGAAACCAATGGGACCAGCAGGCACTTTCCATTGATGACCCTCTCCCTTTACATTTTGCACCACTTGTTAGAAAAGAACATTTAAATCTCCCATTGTTCCCCAGATTTATTAACGTCTGTATGTTGCAATACTGCAGCTGGTAACTAATACGGAATACGCAACCGAATGCTCACATACAGTGATAAATAAATAGAGCTGGGAGCTGTCTGCTCATAAATTCAGTCCAACTTTGCAAATTTGGACCAATTTTTCAGGCAGACAATATCCGATTACAATAGAAGCTATCATTGTCAATATTGTTATAGCTGAGGGAGAAATAATTAATGGAACATTTCATAAATAAAGCACTTCAGCCTGCTGGTCTGTCTTATTTGTGACAGTTTATAAAAGTTTTTTTAATAGAGATAGACACTCTTCTAATTTGGCTATCAATAAGTCAGTGAGGGAGGTTTTCTTGTGCTTCTGAGCTCCAAAGAGCTATAGCTGGGGGGAGAGGTGGAGGCGATCCAATATACCCAATATACGACTTTATAAATATATTGTACATTTATAAATATCTTTATGCTCCTCACCCACAAATTAGAGGCCTAGGGGGATTATATAGACAATCACGATACCTGAAAGGGCCATTAGGAAAAGGCAGGGCAAATAATTTTTTTCCTTCAGGTAGCCCTCCATTTTTTTTTAAAGGCTAGAGGATCTGTATAACATTAATTTTAAGAAAGCTTTTTTTTTTATTATTTCTACAGGAATTGTGTCACTTTTAGAATTGTGCAATTTCTAATTGCTGTTGCTCAGATTACCTTACCTGTCGCCACTTAATAGTTAATTCCATTCTCTATTTTTGGTTCATATCAGTACAGTCATGTCTCTGACTGCCTCTCTTCGATTTCCAAATGGATGGCTGCTCACTTCCTTAAACTCAACCTGTCCAAAACAGAACTTCTGGTCTTTCCTCCCTCAAGTGTTACTACTCTTGTGTCTGTCTCCCTCCAAGTCACTGGCGCTACCATCACCTCTACCTCGCAGG